ATATATATATATATATATATATATATATATATATATATATATATATATATATAAAAAAAAATATATATATATATATATATATATATATATATATATATATATATATATATATATATATATATATATAAAATATATATATATATATATATATATATATATATATATATATATATATATATATATATATATATATATATATATATATATTAATATTTATATATATATTAATATTTATATATATTAATAATATATATTTATATATATATTAATATTTATATATATATATATATATATATATATATTAATAATATATATTTATATATTTTTTATATATATATATATATATATATTTTTTTTTTTAAATCATAATCATTCAATTTTAGTTTTAGCAGTTAATTATTTTTCTCAGTTTTCTCAATCATCTAAATAATTGTGATCATTCAGGTTGACCGTTTGTGCAAAGCTTTATTTTATGTGTCACTTAAAGGATCAATAATTAATTTCTTCAACAAATTATGCATGTTAATACTGATGATTACTGCTAGACGTGCTGTTCAAAAGCTTATATTTGCATTGTAGGACTACACAAAACTGTTTACATCATATGCATGGGACATCCCAATGATGTCAGAAAATCTGTAACCTGATTCTTCCTCTGCAAACTGATTTACTCTTGTGTGTCACATGACCACAGTGTAATCAACCTTTGCAGTATAAAAGTTGCATTTTACAGTATTGTGACTCCAATGTCAAGGGCTTCGACCTTCTGTCTGCATTTAAACTTCGTCTGAATAGATTTGCTAATGTTCTCAGATACACAAATGTTATTTGATCCTCATCCTTATCTTGGCAACCCGTCAGAACTTGTTGCCAGATTGAAGCGTTTCATTCTGCAGCTCTCAGCACCAGCAGGACCTGATCTGGCTTTAGGGCAAACGATATTTTCATAAGTGACTGCTCTTTTTCACCAATTTTAGCTCCGTTAACTCTGTTTGCAACGTCATATTATATAAAATTAAAATAATTTTGAGTGTGTGTCACACCTAAAAGCAACAGCAGGACAATAGTGCACTGTCACTTTAAGAGCCATACACATCCAATTTACTGTTATACATTTTCATTACACATAATCATATGGTGCTGTAATTGTTTTTCGCGACTTGTTGTATTTTCACAATCAGCGGAGGACGAAATTGATATTTAATTTTGATTTTAATCTATATATATGTATATATATACATTTTTTTTTGTATTGATCAATTTATGTATGTTAAATTTATGTATGTGTGTTTATATTTACCAGTCTGAGTTTTAATTAATTCATTAAAAATTCACCCAAAATTCTGTGTTTTTTAACAAATACAATGTTTTATAATGGTATTACACAGTAATCAAAAGGTGGCCCTGCATTGGTGTGTGGTGTTTTTTTTTACTGAATTTTTTAAGCCATTTGTTTTCTTCGACGCACAGACATTATCATTTCTTGTTTGTCAACGTTTAGTCATTTAGCAGATGCTTTTTGTTCAAAGTGACTTACAAGTAAGGAGGCATTCTGCGATTCAGCAGTTACTACCAATGATACGTGTATAAATGCATGAATTGGCCTCTGTGTTCCCTGCAATGTTGATCAGGCTTGAGGTGAAAGAGCTGCTCTGGATTGTTTTTGTTGGGAGTTTGAGGCTGAAACCGGACACCGCGGGCTCAGGTTTTCCTAAAGAAGGGAAAGAGCGAGTGGGGGCTGGGAAAACTCTTCCTGATCTAGTCCTCAACATAAGCTTTTATCCAGCCGCGGAAAAGTTATTTCAGACATTTCTGGCACAAAATGTTGTCCATGAGTGTTTAGAGTCTTGTTCTAGGCAGACACGATGTTGGCAAAAACTGATGTTGCGATATGTTGTGTTTCTGCGGTTTGAATATAATTTCTTGGGATCATTTAGGCAACTCTATTTGCCTTATTTTACATTGATCATGAGTGCACATGCATAAAATAATGCATTACAACAAGCACACGCATACAAATGAAACAGACAGTGCTTTGTTTTCTAACAGTATTGAAGTACAGCAATAAAATAAATGTAAAACAACACTAAACAGCAGTCAACATTTGAAGTGGATCAAAACCACCACAAAAAATCATAGTTATCCTAAAACTATTCGTCAGCACCCTTTCTTATTTTGATTAAATTTTTTAATCCAAGTGTTGACTACTGTGTCTTCATTGTGTAAATAAATACAATTAATCTTTGTTGAAGCTGAAAATGTGATGATTTCTTATGCCTGAATGGTTTAAATCCTAATTATAATCCTAATATAACATTGCAGATACGGTGATTAAGCTATTGCAGATACACACAGTGCAGTATTGTTGCTGAAATTATATATTGTGCAGTCCTAGCAGCCACACACACACACAAATCTGTAGATTTTTAACCCATCATGGAGTATGTATGTGTGTGTCAGAGTGTATTTATTCAGTTTTTATATTCATTTCAGTAGGACTACATTGAGGGTGGCGCAGTGGGTTTGCGCTGTCACCTCACAGCAAGGTTTCTGGTTCGAGCCTTGGCTGTGTCAGTTTGGCGTTTGTGTGTGGAGTTTGCATACTCTGCTTGTGTTGGCATGAGTTTCCTCCGGGTGCTCCGGCACAGTCCAAAGCATGTGTGTGAATGAATAAAAGTGTATGGGTGTTTCCCAGTGATGGGTTGCAGCTGCGCTGTTTAAACCATAAACTGTTTAAGTTGGCGGTTCATTACGCTGCGGCGACCCCTGATAAATAAAGGGACTAAGCCGAAAAGAATATGAATGAATATTACATTGACTAATGTCCAAATGTTTGCAGTGCTCCTCATAAGAGTGCACCCACTTTTGAAAATGATCGCTTATATTAATTTCTCAGTGAATGTGGACAGCATATTTTGGTGCATTTAAACAAAGCAGTTTTATTAGCTCATATTAAATTGGTTATATTTATTAAAATGAAGAGTTTGGTCACTGAACATCTTAAAATAGAAAGATTAATACATTAAATTAATCAATTTATTGCATTTTTTCCCTTTTTATTACAATTTTATTTAATTTTTTTAATATTTTAGGGACCGAGCACATGCAGTGCACATAGGCTCTATTGGATTTGGTCTATTTCTTCTTCTACTCTAGAATGAATCACATTTTGAGGGCCTAAACATGCTCAAACTCACAATACTTCAGCTTTAATTAATATTTTCCTCTGTTCTCTGTCATACTAAGGCCATCGGGCGGCGGTGAGTGCAGGTGCGAGGTCCCCTTCATTGCTGCTTGCAGCTTTAATTTGGATGTAGTCATTTTTGTACTGTGATCTAATGTAATCTAATCTGATGTACATGCAAACATATATTACTGTAAAGCATCCTGTAGAAAATATGATTGTAATTGAGAGATCAGTGAGGGGTCAACTCATTTATGAACGCTGTATATGATTTATTTACAATACAGTACAAGTGACATACTCCTTTATTTTAGTAGATCTATTTTATGAGAGACTTTCATTGTCAAACAAGTGGATCTAATTGGATTTGCATTGCAAAGTTAAACAGTTATTGTTTTTCTATTAAATGTTTTTAGGTACTATACTTCCAAAATCATTTATTTACACAGTTTTGCACACAAATAGCTATAGCATAGTCTTTAAATAAAAGAAAAAAAATGTATTGTTTTTATTTATGTTTACTTTACTATTGTTATTCTCCCAAAATCATTCTACATAATTAGATTTTTTTTATTTCAATATTCTGTGCAGAAATGACAAAATAATGTCCACAGCTTGTGTCTGACACTAGTTATAAATCATGCTTGTTTTTATTCTGTAGTGTTTTCATATGTACTTTGTGTATGTACTTTGTGTATGTTGTTGTATGTTTCAGTCTGCTCTTCTCTGTCAGTTCCAGACTAAACAGTTTGAACACAGAGAGATAAGACCGTTCATTAGCAGCAGTGAATCAACCCACGAAACACTCATAAACGCAGAAACTCAGGCGGACATATTGTTGTGGAAGTGGGCTTGGAGTCAGGGTGGGGGCCATTTTCTCATTTTCTCTGCTGCCATGAAAACAAAGGGCCTCTTATCCGGTCAGCCCACTGCTTGCTTCGGCTTGTCCCACTGAAAACGCTAAAATAAGAGTCTCTCTAGTGCACTAAGTGACTAAAAAATAACATCTTCCTTCTATAGTGTCTACACTTCAGTAGTTGAGATCATAAATGTAACTTTACTTTAATTTGTTTATGCATTCCTGTATAGACGTGTGCAAGAAATGCAGGGCTGTGCAGTATATCAAAATTACCATGATATTGCAAATGTGTGTATGGCAATATGTATACTACTACCAACTAATACTAGCTATGCACTTCTACTACTATAGCTAACTACCACTACTAGCTACTAACTTCTACTACTACTACTATTTACTACTACTAGCTACTAGGGGTTGCACCAACTTGTTGACTGGTTGACTTTAATGCTCTGCCATGGCACTTTTTGATTGACCTTGACTAGTTGCTCTGCCTAAGTCACGTGGTTTGACCAGAAGTACATGGCACCTTTACACTCGAAGATAGTTCACTGATTAAAACTGGATTATTTTGGGTGAACTTTAAGGGCGCTCTATGCAAATACACTTGAG